CCCATATAATTAGGTTTAACTTGATTATAAATAGGTCATTATCTCATGGTAGTCTTTCACGATCATTAGATGAAAAAAAGAGAAAGAGACACGCCGTAAAACAAAAACACTCTCTAGCTTTCTGGTTCGAAGATTCCTAGCTTCTTCACCGGAGAGGATTCATTGGCGTTGGATCGTGCATCGAGAAACTGGATTGCGTGGATACCATAGTCGAGGACATGACGAACAACGGTAAGTTTTCGTTGATCATTCACGCGATCTAGGATCACATCGAATAGCTATAGCCGGATCTTCGTTGTTGGTAAGAAAAATTTTAAATTCCGCTGCGCGTATGTTAGGTTCGTACGTCTAAAATACAACAGTGGTATCAGAGCGCCGGGTCGGTGTTCATAGCTATTTGATTTTAAATTGGATTTAGATGGATCCAAATATGTGTTAATAATGTTAAGATTTCTTGGTTCTGTTCGTTTACGAACTGTTCGTGAATATTTAGATTTGGAATCGTAAATTCTGGGAATTGTGCTGCTCAAATTGGGATCACAGAAAAGGATTTTGGAATCGTTTTTCGCGAACTTTGTAAAAATCTGGAATATTGGTGCAAAAGTTTACGAAATTGAATTCCTTTTGCTCTGTTTGCGCAATTTGGAATTGTTTCCTTTTGCTCTGTTTGCGCAATTTGGAATTGTTTCCTTTTGCTCTGTTTGTGAAATCGGGTCTGTTCGTATCGCAAAATCTGGAAATTTGCTTGAACCTGTGAACTCTCTCCCGTCTCCATCTACCGCCCTCGACCGTCGCGCCTCTGTCGTCGATCGTCGACGCTGTGGGTGGCCGCCAGAAACCGAGCTTCGAGCTCGTCCGCCATTAATGGCGGACCCAACAATAAAAAAAAAGAAATCTGGTTTTTGGAAAACGAGCTTGGAGCTTGCGGTCCATCCCTCCGCTACTGTTGCGCTCGGCGTTTCTATGGCTGGATGTCGGAAAACCGAGCTTCGAGCTCATGTCCGCCATTAATGGCGGACTTCACAAAAAAAAAAAATACATACAGCGGTTTGACCGCCGTATAGGATTCCGGCGAGAGGGGTCGGCCTGGGTGGGAGAGGAGATGCCGGACATCAAGTCCCGCGGCAGATGTGGCGACGGGAAGGATGAATAGGGTTTTTGGTGTAGGGACCTGCTTCCGAAAATTTGACAATTATTAGGGGCTAATTCGTAATTTAAGAGACTTTAGTTTATTATAAATTGACCCCTGTGGTAAATCTGTAATTTCTAAACAGACCTGGGGTCTATTTCTGATTTTTGAAACTTTCTGGGGCAATTCTGCGATTTTCAGAAAAGGTTTAAAAGCAGCACTTTGGCCCTTGGGGTCAATTTGTAATTTCTGAATAATCTTAAGGAATGTTTGGATGTTTTCAAAATTCAGAATTTTGAAAAAGTTGAAATACTTGGTATTTTTGCTTGTTTTAAATTTCTGAAAATTCCTAAAATTGAA